AGTACTTTAAAGCATATAAATAAGTTACCCGGGCAATTGATTTACATTAGCCAATCAGACGAACTTCTGTCTATGAGATTAAATGGCAATGTACAAAATAATAAATCAATTTACTAAATTGGATTTTTTTTTGTAAAAAAATAAATTTAAATAAAATAAACGTAAATGGTAATTTAAAATAAGCTTTATAGATATTAAGCATTATCGTTATAAATATACTTAAATGGATAAACGCTTACTGATAATTCTTTAGAATATACGAGAGATTATAATAATAGATAATATAGTCGATTGTGTTTATATTATCAATTGTCTTAATTGTATTCATATTATCCGTGCCTTTGTCAATTAATCTTGTCAATAATTTAGGCTAGATTATTTAATATATTAAATTATTGTACAAAGGAAAGACTTCTGTATAAAAAATTTAAATGTAATTTTTCTATTTAAAGATGCGACTTTCGAGAGTGTAAATTGATTTTTTACCATAATAAAAATTACAATCGATCCAATACCTAAAATGACTTCTCATGTCTCGCTTCTAGTTACCATAATTTTGGTAAAAAATAACCGCTTGTGCTCAAGCGGACTAGCCAAATACAAGGTTTCTAAAGAAATAACTTATACACTTAAATTCAAATATTTCTTTACCACTAATCAACCAGCTCAGACATTTTCGAATGGGGATTTAGTTTTTATTTCGGGTAAATACATTATTGAAAATTCTGAACCGTGTTTTACCATTGCATACTCAAGTATTGTTGATAATAAAAATATCAACCGTGAATTGGACATGAGTAATGTTCCCATAACTATTCCTCACTCTATGTACTTTGTGACTGTTAATCGTGAGCCAAAGAATGTCGAAAATTTTATTCATTTTGGTGTTGATACAGTTCAATATAATTCTGTTACCAGTACACCTAACGTTAAAATGGACATGACGATTATTTACCCTCTCGATTTGCCCAGATTTAAATATTTAAGCTATTTAGGTTCAAATATTAAATTACTTTCCAATTATTTCGTATTGGGTCTTTTTAAGTTCTCAAAGTCCAGCAAGATAATGATTGAAGCAACAGATATTGATTATCTAAGAACTTCTACCATAAATATTGGTGCATCTGAAAATTCATATTCGAACGTAGCGGATACACCATCTATAATCGATATTATTGACGATGATATCGATTCTACTATCACAAAAATGCCCAAAAATCAATATGGTTCAAATAAAAGATCAGCAAATTCTACTAATGCTGATGTTGAAGCTGGTCCATCCCATAATAATAAAAAGGATAATACTACTGTTGAAGATTATGTAGAAGATGATAATGACGATTATAATGATGATGATAATGACGGCGATAAAGAAAAGGCTATAGATTTATCCTGTAATGAAGATTTGCAAGACGTTGAAGAACAAGAAGAATCACATCATAGAAAGAGAAAAAAAACCCCTAGGAAAACTACAAAAGAAAAAAAAAAAGTAAATTAAAAAATGTTGATAATAATTATTTAGCTGAATATAATAGATATCAAATATAGTAGTTCACTTAGTATGTCGTATGTTTTTCGTGAATAAAATGTTTTTAACTGCAAAAATAGGAGCCTGTTGCACCTAGAAATTTCTTAATTATATATTGATCCTATTTATTCGATCTTATTCATAATTATGCGTCCTCTGATCCTACGTATAACATTGGACTTTCTTCTCTGTTAATTATTTTTTACCTATTCTGTCTAAATGTAAATGAAATAGAATAGCTTATTTAGAATTTATAGTTAGTAAATGTTTTTTGTGTGAATTAATAAAATTAAGTTATAAGCATTGTGAAGTTTGATAATATGCTTTTAGTAATACGACTCGTTAAAACTCGACTGTATCCAAGATCCATTTAACAAAAATATAACTATACTAAATTAGATTAATCGATTTTTGATCAGAGTTAGTACACATAGTACATGCACGCTCTTAATACTTCTAGAACTCTACCGAACCGTTTTAATGGATATCTAATTACAAGTCACTCTCGTTATAGTGAAGTTGTTGGGCTGAAGAATTTTCTTCACTATATCGAGATATTTACTATATCGAAAAATCTTAATATAGTAAAGTTTATATTTAAAATAAAAAAATCTTCATTATATCGAGAGACTTTTTATATTAAAAATTTTAATATAATGAAGTTTATATATAAATTTAAAAATCTTCACTATATCGAAAGAATATTTAAATGATATAATTGGGTAAAAATTATTTTATATATAAATCTTCACTAAATCAAGAGTAAATTTATTATAAATGTACTGTATTTTTTTAAAAAAAATCTTCACTATATCTTATATCGAGAGTTTATTATTAAAACTTCATTATATCGAGTGAAACATTAATAGTTTTGAAAAAATCTTCACTATAAGCCAATCTTCACTATATCGAAGGTTCACTATAACGAGAGTGACTTGTAATTGCTGAACCAAATCTGGTAAAATAGATTTGACTAAACCAAAACAGGTATTTTGCTAGAATCAGCCCATTGTATACTTTGCCGAAAATATATAATCTAAAATTGGCAATGTTTCAATCTATATCGGGTAAAAAAAGACAAAGGCTTATTATTAGTTAATATAGTTCGTTAGCCTAGATAGAAATTTACTGCACTATAGCCTTAAATCATTACTTTTTAAAAGTATAAAAAGGTTGTGCTAGTTATACACAGTAAATAATATTTAATTCATTAAAGCTCTTATATCACTAAAACCTTGATTTTATTCTTTAATGTATACATTCTTAGGTTACTTTAAAACATACCATGGATGATATTAAAACTGAAAATGAAGCCAAGAAGAGGAGGAACCGTGAACAAATCGCTTTTCGGCATAATAACCCTCAGCTGCGAAAGTCTCTAAATGAGAATTTAAATACTGGACGTAACAAAAAAAGAATTGAAAGCCGACTCGCAAGAGATAATCGTGCTAGTAGTTTTGGCATCCCTTTACGTGTTATGGAGATAGATGAAGAATTTGAACAAATTACTCAACAACATATTACATGGCCTCAACCTTTTAGAAAAAAAGTGGATAAAGATACATTGGCTAAATTTCAAGATATAATTGATCTTAATGAATTGCGTGAATTACCATATGCTATTTGTTCTGGAATTTATAATCACAAAAATTGCAAGAAAATTTTCTTGCAAACAATTGATCTTTCCTTAATTAAAGCGCCACTTGAACTTACTGATCCATTCTTTGAAATCAATTTTGATTATAACCATCCTTACGTTGCTACTAGTGGACTAAATATTCTCCTCGATCGTTCTGGTTTCATATTTCTACCAGAACATCTTGATAATTCTAATAGTTCGTGTGACCCCTTTCAGTTACAGATTTGCCATTCTTGCAATAATCATTTACAAAAACATATAACCCTGCCATTATCACTAGCCAACAACATGTAGATTGGTTTCACCTCTGTGTATTTTCAAGACCTAACAATCCCAGAACAGCTTCTCATTTCAACCAGATATCTGTGTATGAATCTTATACAAATAACAAATAGAAGACATACTCATCATAAACTTAAAGGACATGTCATAACATTACTTCAAAATCCAAGCTCTTTAATTAATGTACTGCCCTTACCAATATATAAACTTTGTAAATATATAAAAGTAGTATTTGGAAAGGAACCTCTACTCAACACCAGCTCAAAAAAGTGCTCCAAGTTCGAAAAAGCAAAATATCAATTGCTCTTAAATGGCTTTTCACCCATAATAAATTATTTAAAAATAAAGTTAAGCTTGATGAAAATAATTTAAATGACCTACCCGAAGGAGAAATTCCTGAACCCTTAGCTATAACAACCACTGTTATTAATATTGATTCTTGTGAAACAGAACATTATATCAGCTACACTTATGATTTCCAAGAATCTGATATTGAAAGTGATAATAGTAAAAATGAAAAGTTGCTTAATACTAATGAAAGTAAATTAAAAAAATTTAACAGTAATAACTCTATTAACAGTGCGAATGAACTCAGCCCTTTTAAAATAATAGATGTTAATGACATACCGATTACCAGAAAAGAGCTAATATTGCTTTTTTTAAAAAGTTAGTTGATAAGCTGAATTCTTATTCTCATATGCAATTATTTTCAGATGGGAATGTATCTAAATTAAATGATGAATTGATATAATCACATGTATTGAGCATACCCATAGCAATAAACCTCTAAATGAATATGCTGACTCAACTCTCCTTCCTGCAGGCTTTCCAGTTCTTTTTCCTTATGGTGTTGGTGGTCATGAAGGTCGATTATCTCTTGTCTCATTGAAAAAATATGCTAATCATCTTATGCGGCATAAAGTTTAGATAGCACAGGTTATTTCTCTTTGTTATTTTTAATATTTTACAGCACCGAGAAGTATCAACGGAATCTTATAACCTAACAAAAAATAATAATTTCAATTGATCTGCAAATTTAATATCATCTCTAAAACTTGAAGATATCAATTTTGCAGTTAAACAAGTCCAAAATAATCAATCAATTAGTCCTGCTATTATTGAATTGTTCAAAAATGTCAAATCTGCAGGTTCAAGACTAATGGTATCCCATCAATCACGTTCACGCATATGCAATGAGATATGTGCTGTTATTATACGGGATGGTACATCTTCGTTATTCATAACTATAAATCCTGCAGACCTTTATAGCCTTATCATTATGATATACGCTAGAAATGAAATAGATCTTCAAAAGCTCTTTCCTGAAAACATTCCAAAAACTTCAGAAAGAGCCCGGCTTGCTCACCTTGACCCCACAGCTGTCACCAAATATTTTAATATTATTATTCAAGCAATAATAAATATATTAATAGGATATAAAAGAAAAAATAATAGTATATTTGGATCAATAAAAAATTATTATGGTGTAGTTAAATATCAAGATCATAGTATACCGCATTGTCATATGCTTATTTGGCTTCATGAAGCTCACAACCCATTATTATTATGACAAAAACTTCAAAATAACAATGAACTTTGCAAACGTCTTCTAGATTATATTAGTAATATTGTTAAAAAGAATATTAATTATCTTTTAAAAGATGAATTTATTGATAATAACACAATTAAAGCTGAATATGAAGCCCCTAAAACAATGCTTGAGAAGCGAATGTATCCATCTTTTCTTCTGATACCTAATCCTATCTTACCTAATTTTGAAGAAGAATTCTGTTTGGACTTGCTTGCAATTTGTAAGTGCACTCTTTTTCATTACTGCACTTGTTCCTGCAAGAAGTATAACTGTGGTTTATGTAAATATTGCTGATTTGACTTTCCTAGAGAACTTGTAGATTCGCCTAGTATGATATTTTCTGAGCAAGATATAATAGCCACTCAACCTTTGAGTGCTTTTATTAACAACCATAACCTTATATAATGGCTGCTTGCTGGAATAATAATGATATTAAATTTATATCCACCAAAAACTTGCTCTAGCTTATATTTATTATATTATCGATTACATTACTAAATCAGATATTAGCACTTATAGCTCTTTTTTAATGTGCTTCTACTCTAAAAACTTTTTTTAACTTAATTATCCAATAGAACACGTGATGATTTTGTAAACAGATCGCATAAACTTGTAACAAAATGTCTTAATAAGATGGCTGGACAAATGAAGCTTACAAGCTCACAAATTTTAGCTTACTTACTAGGTATTTATGATCATTATACTCCAAACAAATTCGCTTCAATCCATCTCCAAACTTTCGAATTTTATCTTATGAAAAAATGGGCTAATCTTCGTCAATTTCAGAATAATACTATTGAAAACATTGTTGAATCAGATAATGAATCTGATATTGATGAACTAAGCGACTAGAAGTTAGAATATGAATCATTTATAATACCTTCTTATAACAGCAAATTACTGCTATAAATCTCCGTGTCGATTATCAGTTTCAGGTTAAATTTTTACATAATATGTGCCTCTATGATTATGCGTCAACCATCAAGAAAATCTCTATAAATGCCCATAAGCTTTTTATGCTATCGGGCCAGAGCTCACGGGAAACCAGGTCACATGTAGATCACTTTCTTTTTTGTAGAAGTGAATATAATGATGATATTAGTGTTCCCACTATTGTCTACCCTCAATGTAAATCACATATTCAATTATGCAGACAAAGAGGTTCTGAAAGAGTAGTTGTACTATGTGGTAAAGGATTGCCTAAAAAAGATAATGAAAAAAATGCTGAACGCTATAGATTATACATTCTTATGCTCTTTAAACCCTGGAAAACTGTTCAAACCCTTTGTAAAAATTATAACTCTTGGGCTCAAGCCTGTAAAGCTTTCCTAGATAGCTCTTCTTTATCTCAATGCTTAAAATCTGTAATATATAATATAGAATTATTATATAGATATTCTGAAGAGACTGAACTAGATCGAGAACTATGAAAAAATGCACTTAATAACCCAATACTTG